ACACACACACACACACACACACACACACCTGTACTGAGGGAGCAGAACAGATGTTGTTCAAGTTAAGGCCATATAATTTAAAAACATTCAAAGTTACAATACAGACTTATTTGTGCATAGCTCTAGTTATTGCTTGGCTTAGCAAAAGCACAACACAGAATAAGCAAGAGCCTTTGCAGTTCTAGGCTTAAAGTTTCATTATGGCATCTACTTAAGCTTACAACTGTCCTCATGTACAGTAAAATTGTAATTCATCAAAATTCAACTGACTGGGGGCTGGGGATTTAGCTCAGCAGCACAACGCCTGCCTGGCAAGCACAAGGTCGTGAGTTCAATTCCCAGTACCGGAAAAACAAACAAACAAACAAAAAAGAAATGCTACTGCAAATGTTTCTGGAGTCCACATAGCTCATTTCTCTTTCCACTTACTCATTTACTTGACAAGACAATAAAGGACACAGAGGGCTACATTTGGGGAGGCAGTTGATATATGACGTAACAACCCAAGAGGAATGCATTTCAGCAATCATTTCATTCCAAAGCCTTCCTCTTACCCATGCAGAACTAAGATATCAGAACAGCTGAGGTGTCCTTGCTTACCCTTTACCTCATCACTTTTACTGTCTTCATAGCTTTGAAGCTACCTATCGCTGATACTCTCCCCATTGGAATATGAGTACCCCGAGAGAAGCAACTTTGCTTTTCACTCACTGTCACATCTTTGAAGAACAGTGCCTAGCTCAGAGTAGGCATCCAATCATTATGCATTAAGTGGGTAAGAAAATGATAGAACAAAGAGAAAACATGTTGAAACACTACACTTGAACCTGTGAAAGCCTACAACCACTGCGATCTTTATCCAGAAAAAGATCGCATTTGAGTTGTATGAAGTAATAGAGCCCAGCTACTAAGGGAAAGATAAGTTAGTAAGAAGTAAACATTTGAACAGAAAACAGTAAGTTAATTTATTCAACATTTAGCTAGTAAAAGCAGGTAATTGTCATCTAAATAAACATATATCATTTTCTTCCTAAATCAATGTCTAAGAAACATCTGAAATTTGTATCATGAACTCTGCATTCAAGTTAGAATTGATAGGTCAAACAATAACTATTATTACATTACTGCTATGCAACTTGATATTGAAACTCAGATATAGTATTTAAAAAATCAGCACCATACATTTTAGATTATCTATGAAGGATGGGCCAGAGATATAGCTCAGCAGTGCAGTGCCTGCCTGGCAAGAGTGAGGTCCTGAGTTTGATTCCCAGTACCCACCCCCCCAAAAAAAAAATTATCTAGGAAGGATGACTTTTATATAAATCACCTTAAGTTTTAATCAATACATATGAATACTAACTCTGATTTTAATAAAAAGGACTCCGTTACATCAGTTTATTATGTAGCAAACACATTAGCAATTAGTGTTAAATCTAAGCTCTATGAGCAAAAGTTGGTCTAAAATAAATGAAAACTATTTCTGTGCCTTTCCTCTTCATCTTCAAAACCCAGCTTATTAGCAAGTAAAAATAACTGAGGGTCTTAAAACAAAGAAACATAAACAAGATTCTTGGTGTTACAAGATTTTAAAATAGTTCTTCACTTTAATGATGTCCATTCATTTATTCAACATTTACTCAGTCCCTTAATAATATTCTAAGCACCTTGTTAGCAATTAGATGTCACCAGAAATATTCGTATTTGAAGTAATAGGGCCAGGGATATAGCTCAGAAACACACGTGCCTGCCTGGCAAGTACAAGGTCCTGAGTTCGATTCCCAGTACCACCCCCCCAAAAAGACATATTTGAAGTAACAAAAGCTAACAAAAATCTCCTTGAGTTCTAGCAAATCAGAAAGATTGCAAAATTTTTCAAAAAGGTGTTTCAACTTACATTTTGCTCCTCTGGTTCTAATTTGGGGATCTTGTGTGACTTGCGCTCTTCAGATCTAGATGAATCATGCTTGTTGCTTTTTTTCCTTTTTTCTTTTCTGCTTTCATGCTTTGACTTTGTGTGTTCAGTTGCCTGTACTTCATTTAAAAGGTCTCCACAAAGTGAAGACTCAAACAATTCCCTGCCATTCTGGATAGTTTTGGTTATTTTTAGTTTAATTTCAGGTGAGCCAGTCTTCTTTGGAATCACAGTTTGTGGTACCGAAGGAGGAGGTGGTGGCTGTGGAGGGGAAGGTTTTTCTAGAATTTCATGTGGTCTTGTATTTGGAATTTCTGAATGGTAATAGTCAGTGGGGCTAAAGTTTCTAACTGCACCAAAGCCATTGGCTGACCCATTGGGATACTGATTATATGACTGGTATTTGGTTTGAGTTTCATACATGCTGATTGATGGTGGGTAGCCATTTGTAAGTGGAGGAAGGTCATCTGTTGTAGGTGGGTACTGAAAGCCTTGCTGCAAGGTAGCTTCATACGGTGTCTGGCCACCATCTTCAACAATGTCACTGTTGTTATCAAAGGCATCCTCCTGACGGATGTTGGCGGAGTCAATGAGTTGAGGTGGTTGCTGAATTGTGTTTCCCATGATCCCTTGCATGAAAGAGAAAGAGAAATCCATTGTTCTGCTCCAGCATCCTTAACTGTCCCTTTCTCTCATCGGGCCTAAAATTAGAAAAGAAGGAATTAAAAAGTACTAATATCCTTATATACCAGAACCTAATAAATTAAAAAAGAATTAAAACTAGAATGTTTGAACTTAATTTTCATATCCAGATACACATAGACATTATGTATTTCTTAAAGGTCAACGTAAGACACAAGGCAAATACATTTTATCTAAAATCCTTATCTGTTTTAAATTCCCAATTATTTTTACAATTCTATAACAAAATTTTATCCTCTTTGCAAACATGCAAAACAATCTTGAAATTCCTCTGTTTCCCAGTTTACAGATTATTAAGATTAAAATTGGTATTTGTAAAGTAAGCAGAATCTTGACACAGTTTCCGTATGCAATTTCTTTAAAATCATTTACATTTTGTCCAGTGGTTCTCTGTATTATAAAAATAAAGTCTTACTCCAAATATTTTAAACACAAAAGTAAAAAGGCCTACCCCTTACATCATTCTTCTACATCACAGACAACAACTGTGAATGCTTTGGCGGGTACTCATCCACATTTTTCTCTATATGTTTACTTACAAATTTGAAAAATAGTTTGGTCCAGGCATATAGCTCAGCGGTACAGGACCTGCCTGGCAAGCACAAGGTCCTGAGTTTGATCTCTGGCACCAAAAAAACTAAAAACCAAAAGCCAGGGCTTATCCTAATTTGTTTTGCTTAATGATATATCCTGGAGGCATACCAGCACATATACTTTTTATACATACTTCATCCTTGAAATGGTTGAAGAGTAAATAAATGTATCACTATAATGCACTCAATCATTTGTATAGTGATAGTCAACTAGTTGCTTACAATTTTTAAAAAATTTATTTATTTTTATTTTTTTGTCTTTTTGAGACAGGGTCTTGCTATGCAGTTCAGGCTGGCCTTGAGCTCACTTTGTAGCCCAGGCTGGCCTCAAACTCGCAATGATTCTCCTGCCCCAGCCTCCCGAGTGCTGGGATTACAGGTGTGCGCCACCACACCCGGCGACAATTTTTTAGTATTATGAACAAGTCTACAGAAAACACAGCTGGGTGTGATGGTACAGGCCTGTAATCCCAGCACTTGGAAGGCGGAGGCAGGAGGAACACCACGAGTTTGAGGCCACTCTGGGCTACACAGTGAGTGAGTCAAGGCCAGCCTGAACTAAATAGTGAGACACTGTCTCAAAAACAAAACAGAACACTCTTGGTCTCATTTCTCTGCTCTTGAGTGCATCCTACCTCCAGTAAATCCTTCTCATGTCTTAAAAAAAATTCTCAGAACTCTATTTATATTTTGTGCATTCATGTACTCCTATAGAACAGATTTGAAATTTTGACAGATACTGTAAAGCTGTTCTATTAGCTGGGGTTTTGCACTGAGCTATACGCCCTGTCTTTTTATTTTTATATTAAGGCAGGATCTTCCTAAAGCACTAAGTTGCCTAGGCTGGGCTCAAATTTGTGATCCTCCTGCCTCAGCTTCCCAAACAACTGGGAGTAAAGGCATACACCATCACACCTAGCTTATTAGCTGTATTATCAATTTACACTCATAAAATACTGAGGGATGACGCCTTATTAATTCTCTATACTCTTGCCAGTATCCAGATGCACATGCACATGCATGCTTTAGTGGGGACTGAACACCAGTGGCATTTGGCCACACCCTCAGCTCTTTTAGTTTTATTTTAGAGACAGGACACCTTGCAAGTGGCTGGGACTACAGACATGCATCACCAAGCCTGGCCTCTAGTTATTTTAACAAGGGGCACACAGAGTACAACAATGTGGGGTACTTTACAAAATATAAATGTCACAGTCTATCTCTTGAAGAATTCTAATTTAATAAATCTGGAGGGGGGTTCAGAGCTTGAGTATTTTAAAACCACATTCTAGCTGATTCGAACCCACACATTTAATCACTGCATTATATTTTTACAATCACTGCACTCCTCTAGAAGGTATGGCTACATTATGTAACAATGTTATAAAGTAGAGAAGCATTTGATACAAGACCACATTTGATACAAGACCACTTCTGTCACAAAGTTTTAAGTCCACATCTCAAGAAAGGAGAGTAATGGGCAGCCCATATATTATTTTGATATTTTCATCTAGAAAGCTCAAAGCAGGGAGGACACACCATTTTTACTACTATCAGCTCTGATGTAACGATCAAAATTGCTTGGAATACTGTGAAGGATTCTGAGGTGACATACCAGTTCAATTCTATTAATAAAATCTACCACCTCAGATCTACCATAATGGTAGAGAAAGCAATCTAAATCATCAAAAGAAAAGAGCAAAGAAAACCTAACAGTACACTTTTCAAGGTGCAGCCACCCAATTTATACATTTGCTGCTTCTTCTGCTATAATAGAAATAATTTCAGATGTTCTAGAATTGCAAACAAATGAATAAGGCAGCATACAAAAAACAAATGAAACTGCAGGAACTACTAGAGGGAGGAGTGAGATGAGAGGAGTAAAGAAAGAGGACTCTCACTTTCTTAGCATTTATTTTGGGCCAGGCACTTTATTCACTGTCTTAACACATTCCTGCCAGCTTGAACCACCAGTGGTACATGTGTGACAGTCCCATCAGGTGGCTTGTACCACTGGTGGTACAAATAGAGCTGTTTTTATCGATCGTTTTACTAATAAAATTAATAAAAAGTCTATAAATGGACCAAATCTAGTTACCTGCTTGAATCTGAATAATTACTTTCCAAATATATTCATGCTATTCATAACAATTAAAACTAGAATAATCAACAAATTGATTTCATTAAATTAAAAGAAAGTGATTTGTATTAATGAATAGATTTTCACTAATTAAATCTCTAAATTTTAACAAGGAAATCTTACAAGTACCCATTGCTGGTGTATATACTGTAATATGCATTTATAACTACTGTCCCACAAATTAGGTGTCTTACAGTTTTTTGTATTATTTTAAAGTTTTCCTTAAGGAACTGTAATGATAACATCTGGCCTGCTAAATCAATACTTTGTCTTTGCAACTGTAATCAAAGACTCCCTGAGAAGCGGTACAAGCCACTGATGGGACAGTTTGGCAGGAATGATCAAATTCAAATCAGACCAGCCCAGCAGTGAGACACAACACTTGGCAGAGAGGTACAGCATTGTGATTCTCGGTTCACAGGTGAAAAAAATGGGAGCATCTGGTGAGTTAGCTGGCCTATATAAACAGTAAAGCAAAATGACAGAACTAGACTCTGAATTGAAGCCTGTCTGACTCTAAAGCCCATGATTTTTTTTTTTTTTTACCACTATACCATTTTCATTTCCCAAGCTACAAGTTTCTCAAGGATTTCTTTCTTTTGTTCATATGCTTTTATTCCGTGGCAAATGCCAAAATTAACACTTATCCTAGTAGCCACCATTATCATTTAAATAGTATTTTGCAGATGCTATACACCATTCTAAGCACTCTGCATAGTTCTAGAAGTAATTTTCCCAACAAGTTCCAGGTAAATATTACCTCCCATTACAGATGGAGAAACAGAGACACAAAGAAATTTAAGTAAGTAAACAAGGCTAGTAAGTGACAGAATTGGGCTTTAACCCAGCAGTCTAATTCTAGCAGTCTGATTCATATCCTACTGCTGGTAATGACAATCAATGTTAGAAATAATTTCTTTATAATATATTTTTATGAAGAATTGGGACCAGGCACATATCCTACTGCTGGTAATGACAATCAATGTTAGAAATAATTTCTTTATAATATATTTTTATGAAGAATTGGGACCAGGCACATATCCTACTGCTGGTAATGACAATCAATGTTAGAAATAATTTCTTTATATTTTTATGAAGAATTGGGACCAGGCACGGTGACACACACCTGTAATCCCAGCACTCAGGAGGCTGAGGCAGCAGGATGGCTGCAAGTTTGAGGCCAGCCTGGTCTACATAGAAACCCTGTCTCAAAAACAAAAAGAAGAAAAATTTTGCTATGCAGCAACAGTACAGGTGGAATTTAAAATTCTCATTCAGGTGTGTGTGGTGATACATGCCTGTAATATCAGCACTCAGGAGGCTAAGGCAGGAGGACTGCCACCAGCCTAAACTACATAGCGAGGCCCTGTCTTAAAAAAAAATTTTCATTCATATCTCAAGCTGAAAGTCATGCTAATCCTGACATGTAACAAGATGCAATTTGTATTTTTGGTTCTCAGAACTGTCATATACAAAATCACTTTTCAAATTAGTCTCCAAATTACAGTCTAGCATGTTTTTTTCCAGACCTATGTCTTCAGGGACTCAAGTTTCTGATGCTTTTGATTAGATCTAAACCTAAGTCTTTAAAAAGCGTGATATTTACTTTTTCTCTTCTCCAGTACTAACTCTGAACATTTCGCTTTAGTTTGCTAAGAAAAGAAATAACATTATCATCTTGCAATAACATGGGAGTTTCCAATACACAGTGTTTTCCTTGCACTGTGTGTGTGTGTGTGTGTGTGTGTGTGTGTGTGTGTGTACACACACACGCACACACTAGTGGCAGAACCCAGGGCCTTATGCATGCTACAACCCCAGCTCAAGCTATTAATTCAAAGAGCATAGGCTAAGGCAGGAGGTTCATTGTGAGTTCGAGACCAGCCTGAGCTACAAAGTGAGCTCAAGGCCAGCCTGAACTGCATAGTAAGACCCTATGACAAAAAAAACGAAAAACAAACAAAAACGAAACAAAGAGCATGATAATGGCAATCTGTCCACCAGAAATATCCTTATTCTTAGGAAAGTCATGCACCAGACAGGGTAGCACACCCCTGTAATCCTAGCACTCAGGAGGCTGAGGGCTGGGCTACATAGTGAGTTCAAGGCCAACATGGCAAAACTCTGTCTCATAAATATATGAATATAAACAAATAAACAAACGAATGGATGAATGCAAGCCATGGTGAAATATTTCAAGGTGAAGTATCATGATAGAGCATCTACAACTTTCAAATGGTTCAGGGGTTAAAAGAAAAGTACATAT